AATTACTTACGGTGTGGTTGGCGCGCCGCGGGCGGCTCAGAAGGCGGCGCGGCGGCGCCCCTCTGATGCAGGATATGGCCACGAAAGACGAATAAGTACCTTGTTAAAACGCTGTCGTTTTCAGCTTTTGTAGTGTACTTGGGGCAGTTTAGGGGCAAGTGTTATTCTCTCCGCGTCCTGCGTGGTTTGTCGTGCTTGCCAGACGTGATTATTGCGGCAACGCCAGGGTGTGTGAAGTGCGCGTCATCATTGTACGCCTTATTCATACTAAGGAGGTACCTTTATAACTTGCGATTTACCCTGATCCCTTCCTGACTTCATACATCTATCTCTGTCTCTCTCTCAATCTCTTTCTGTCTCTGTCTGTCTCCCCCCTCTCCTCTCCCCTCTCCCGCCCCCTCACTGGCCACGCACGATGCCATACTAAACAGAAAGAGAGATGCAAAAAAAGAATAAACATTCCAAAAAAATCATGCTGACTCCTAGCCACAACCATTTATTCATGAGGTGGCGTCGGGTCAAGCTGAAACTGTCTTTTGCCCGCTTCTGTGTTTATAATTAACACGACTTTTGCCATAAATCATCGTGGGCTTGTCTTTTGGCACGCGCAGGGTATTAATTATGCGCCCGCGAAAAGTTTCGCTCCCTCACCTGGGCCTGGGCGCTTGGGCTTCTCCTCCAGTCTCCTACATCTTTTTTTCCTGTTAACTTCCTGCTCCGCTTGTCACTCGTTGTTGTTCTTTTTAACCTTCCTGTCGGGGGCACTGAAATGAGTCGGGTGTCTTAGTGAGAGAAATAACATTTTATTCAGTAGAAAGATTTTTTTTACAATTTATACATACTAAAACTCACGTTTTTTGGCACATCACGTTTTTTTTTTTTTTTTTAGCTTTTTTGCTTAGGCGGTACGTGAAATGTTTCGCCCTGATTTATCAGAAAAGTTTGTGCAAACTTAACCCTTTTGAATGGGTTGTTTGATTGACTTGCGCAATAAGTACTAATTACAGCTCACTCTCTTGTCCAAAAATACATATCGTTCTTTATTTCATCCTAAATTAATCACAAATTTCTCATTTGCTTTCGACTAAAATTTTCCCGTCAAAAAGAAAATGTTATCGCGCTGTCGGCCACAACGGCAACATAGTGGAACAGTCCAATACCCAGACATTCGCTTAGTCGGTTTAATCATTCTAATGCCGACGATACTTCAAAGCAAATTTGTTTCTCCCATCACAGCGGCAGGTCGGTAATTCTTAGGAGATAGCTTCCACTGTGAGATAATATCAGAGCTCCTCGTTGAGGGACGGAAAGGCCCCACCCGCCTTGAACCTTTCTCACCAATCTGGAAGCAAAGTCAATAAAGTGGAGAATGGGGACCAGACGAGACCTGAACCTCCCCTTTACCCCCTCTCCCCACCACTCCAATCCTACCGCTTCCCAACGGGGTGGAGGTATAAAGCACAGAAATAAAAAAAGGGGGGAGGGGTTGGCTGACACGTTGGCCACGCGAGAAAAGAGAGAAAATAGCAGATAAAAAGGTCTATCCTCCAGCCGCTTTCCTTTCGTTAATCAAAAACAATTATTTCATTGTACGGTTCGACCAGTCTTTCCCGGCGTATTGCGTTCTGTTCAATGGCTCTCACACATTTCCTCTTTTCTCTCTTTTTCAGAGGACATGCCTGATGAAAGGGGTAGACTAATCACCGACTTTGCGAACATCTCTCTCGACGCGGTGGGAAAATTTTTATTCAGGTACGTTTTCACCACATATTTTCTCGTTCTTTGTCGTTCCGTCATGACATGAAATCAGACGGTGACCTCGTCTGTGACCATCGTTAAGGTGGCCACGGGGCCGTCCACGGGCTTGTCGTTGTGGTTCGAGTCTTTGAGCGTATGTAGGTTGCCGTTGTCATTGTCCGGCTGTGGGCTGTTGAGCTGACCACTGTTATTGAGCTGACTAAGTGGGCTGTTGAGCTGACTGATGGGGCTGTTGAGCTGGCTGAGCGGGCTGTTCAGCGGGCTGACTGGGCTGACCGGGCTCATCGGCTGCGGCGCGTTGTCCAGGGCCCTGCCGTTGTCGACGAGCTGCTCGGAGGTCTTGTTGCTGAAGGCGCGCAACCGCGGCTGCTGCTGCACGATGCAACCCTTTTGGATCACCCTGAGCTCGCGCACAGTGAGCAGCGTCGGCCTCAGGATGACGCCTCGGTCGCGGTCCCGATCCCGGTCGCGCTCCCTTCGCTCTCTGCTGCGCTCCCGCTGCTCCCCATGGTCCCCGTTGTGCTTGTGGTCCGTCTGCCGCGCGGCCACGTGGTTGCCCTGGTGGTCCGCGCGCCCGCCCGGCGCCGCGCCCCCGACGTCCTGCTGGTGGAGGCCCACCCGGTCGGCCGCCTGGTCGACGACCCGCCCGGCGGCCTCTCGGCCGGCGGCGTCCTGGCCGGCGGCGTCCTGGTCGGCCTGGCTGGCCACGCTGACCTTGGCCACAGGCGGCGGCTGGTCCTCCAGCATGGCGCCGAGGAGGTCGGCAAGGCGCGCCTCGCCGCCGCGGAGGCAGCGCTCCAGCAGCGACTCCAGCTGTCCGCGCAGGCGCTTGAACTCGTCCTGTGGGGCGGAGGCCATGACTGACGTGAGCACACACGCCACCCTCCACGACGCAAGCCGTCACCCCTCCAGCTTCCTACGTTCCTTACTTACCTCGGCCTTCTGCGGCGGCGGTGGCGGCGCGTTGCCGCTCGAGGCGGTCACCGAGGCCGTGGCCGTGGCCGTGGTGGAGATGGGCAGCAGGTGGGGCTGCGGGATGTTGTACTGCTGCTGGCTCTCGGCGCGCAGGTGGCTGAACTTGGTGGTGGTCCCCCGCCCGACCTCGCCCGCGTTGAACGTGGGACCCGTCGTCCCCGTCGTCCCGGACAACTCGTCTGGCCGACCTCGGCACCGGAACACCAAGTAAGCCTAATGCAGCAACATCAAAAACATAAAATATAAGTTATTTTATTTCACCATCAAAGGATACTTTTCTTTGCCCGTGTCGGCACGCTGCATGCACTTTGGTGGGCGCAGCCTGGCGCCCGCGCCCCGGGGGGACCGCTGCCGCTAACGATGCCTCCACTGGCGGCCTGGCCTGGTCTCTGCGCCCTCCACTACCCCCCTCTTCCCGTTCCTCTGCCTGCCCCTCAAAGTCAGTCAAAGGAAGAGCTACCGTGTCATCTTGTTGTCAGAGAGACGGGTGGTGGCGCGCTGTTGCCAGGCATTCTGCCGTCGCT